TTCAATCCTCATTAACTTTCATTCTCAACATCAAAACAAATTACACCTGAAATTTATGAGGGTATCTTTATTGAATACTCCCCATATTAAAAGGGCACAAATGTTACAAATCCAGAAACATAAACTTATTGAATATAAAATTGATTACAAAAAATTCAAAATTCAGGAGAAGAAAATTAAACAATAGGAATTTCAAGGTCTAAACTTATTTAGTCCTCCACCATCTTCTCACAACAAACAGAAAATAAATATTTCTTATTGCTCCTCATTCAATTTGTCAAAGCCTCGCCAAAAGTGCAAACTCCCTTATCACCATAGCATTACATCCAACTTATTCAAGCGTTGCCAAAAGTTTAAACTCCATCACCTAATGACTATAACCAACCTGTTCAAGCCTCAACAAAAAACTGTAATCCTCATCATCACCTTGTTAATATGCCCAACTAATATAAAATGATATTTAAATCTTTACTATAAGAAAAAACCAAAAAAGGGACCAACTAACACATCTTCAACATTCAAGAACCAAACCTACTTTTAAGTTTCAATCAAGTACAAAGTAGTGAAAATAATCCTATAGATGATGATATTGATCTCAATTATCTTATGTCTTTAAGATGTAAGGTCATACACCCAAAACCAAACCTATGGTTTTGAAATTATGAAGGGCTTGCCACTAAATTTTATACATTTGTCACTTCTCTTGGTAAAATAGAGATTCCAATATATACAACAAACTTAAAACCGTCAAGTGACAGCAAAATATAATAGAAGAAATGCATGTCTTAGACAAGAATGATATAGGTTAGGTTTATGAACTTCTATCAAGAAAAGAAAACACCTAGATGCAAATGAGACTTTACAATCAAATAGAAAATAGATGAAACTATGAATAAAAATAAATACGGACATTACAAAATGGTATAACTAACATATAGTATTAAATGTTATCTCACGATATTAAACTCAACACAATTCAAGGTATGCTCTTTCTAATGGTGAATTTGGATGGTCTATACATCAACTTAGCATTAAACACGTTTTTCTATTGGGGATCTTGAGGTTGAATTATGTATGAAGATTCTACATATATTGAAAAATCAAAGAAACATCAGCAATATATAAATACTTAACAAAGCTTTATATATTGCCTGAAGCAATCTCCATGTGCCGAGTTCGACAGATTTTCAACAAGAGATGAAAATTGAAGATAAACTTAGTGCAAAGCAAAGCACACTCTCCAAATTTAGTGCTGACATATAAAGGAAAAAAAAGCAACAATGATCTTATATATGTAAGTTGTTATATCAATGGGTGATTTCAAGGAAAACCTAATCAGATTAAGAGCTTCTAGTAGGAGAATTTAAGGCAAGTGACATAAAATTCTAAAACACTTCCTCTGGATGAAAGTGAAGTAATCAAAATAAGGTATTGCTATTTCTTAAATTTAGTAATATTCTTGATTTACATTTTAGCAATAGGAATGCACGAACATAAGCCCACATAAACATTAATGGATCAACAAAAAATAAAAAAGAATCGCCACTCAAGGATGCCTAGTAGGCAAGTTGAGCTACTTCTGCTCATCCATATAGATATTAAATTTCCTATTATTGAGTAATCCAAACATTATAATTCGTACAGAAGCCAACATGAAAGCACTTAAGTTCATTCTACGGTACTTCAAAATGACACTAGAAAAAGGAATATTATATATTATGTTATCAAACAAAAAAAAGAAATTTTTTACAGCTTCTCATTAAATGGAGAGATAGGGAAATTTAATTTTAACTTTTTGTTCTACCTGCATGGCATTCTTCGACATTAATTTTGAGTATTTAGTATATCTGTCAGAGCACATGCAGACATGTTTAAACTTTAGGGGCTTGAGCATATTTTTAAAAAAAAAAAAAATTGCTTTTTAGACAAATTGCATGCTTTTTAGATAACTTGCAGATCTATCAGAGCATCATACTTGAGCCAAAAAGTGCCTCACTGAGCATGCAGAACTTATAATTATCCCAATTTAGTTGTTTTTTGCGAGTATTTTATTATTGAATCACGCATAAAATTTGATTTCGAATTTTAAAAAATCTCATGCCCGGTTTTAGGTGTGTAACAAATCTGATGGAGATATAAGTCGATCGAGACTACCTGGTACTTAACATGCTATAAGCAATTTATATTTAAAACCCTTTCTATTCCTGTGTGTCCCACAGGATACATTTCTTTCCCTCTATATAGGTACCCTCCCTTATTCATTTTCATTCCCAGTTCAGTTCAGCATGTGTATACTCAAGAGTTATGGCTTTTAGTGAGGATTCTGAATCAAAAGTTCAAGAGTTCAATTCTTTCAAAGTAATCAAGTTCATCACAAGTCCCCTATGAGTTCAATTTTTTTCTTAATTTATGGTTCTTTCAATTTCTTCTGAACAAGACTAATCTGCCTTTCTTTTTATTTGTCTAACAAAATTAACTTATACTTTTAATTGTATTCTTAAACGTGATTTGAAGGTCCATAAAGTCCTTCAAGTGCGATTTATTGTGCTTTCTCATTGAAAATTTTAGGCAAAATCTTTGTTTCCCCAACATAAAAAGCATCTACATGGGCGCTAGGTTCACCTATGATGCCACGAAAAGCATGATGAGTCACCGATGATTTTCATTCACCGCACTAAGAAAAACATGTGTAAGTATTCAAACACTTGCAAGAAAACATCTATAAATATATTGTTTTCTTCAAGTCATGTACAATAAGTGTGGGTACTTGGAATTTTAGGCAAGCCCATTTCCCCTCCACATCAAGTACAATGCATACAGGGACCTAGATCACGCACGAATATACAAATATACAAGTAAGCACATTCATGTTATACTCGTGTACAATGTATCAGCAACGATGACATTATTAGCAACCAAAAAATTAAAATATATATAATTTTTCTTTCTTCTTTTTTACTTTTATCTTCTTTTCTCAATTTTTTTCTTTTTTTTCCTTATTTTAATTTTCTACTCATTTTTTTTTCTTTTTATCCTTTATATTTTTTTTTCTTTTACCTTTTTTTCTCTCTCTTCTTTTTCTGGTTTTATAGTTTAGTTTAGTTTAGTTTATTTTATTTTAGTTTATAGCCTTGGCTTTAACTCTTTATTTCTATTTTTCTTCCTTCTCTTTTTTATGTGTTCCTCCCTCCCTCTTGAGTAGAGAGAGAGATGTGGAGAAGTGGGAGAGAAGGGGTTAAAAAAAGAGATTGAGAGAAAAGAGTGGGAAGGAGAGACTAAGAGGAGAAAACGAGATTGAGAGAAAAGTGTGGGAAGGAGATACTAAGAGGGGAAAGGGTATCAGAGACAGGACTGAAAGAAAAAGAAGCAAATGTGGAAGGTGAAAAAGGAAGGAGAAGAAAGGAAGAGAAGAAAAGTAGAGAGAGCAGTAGGTGGAGAAAGGAAAATTAAGGAGGAAGGAGAGAGGAAAAAGAAGAAGGGGAGGGGAAGCAAAGAGGAAAGCAGATGGCAGGTCCAACGACTGTGATGGCTACCACAAAAGAGGGAGACTGCATGTGAGAGAAAAGGAGAGAATGAGAGGGGGAGAGAGTGCATGCAGAAAAAAATGAAAGAGGGGAGTTAGGTGGCTGGTAAAGATTTAGGTTATATTTAATTTATTTATTTTTTATTTTTTATAACTAAAAACCATATGACCCTCACATCTCTAGCGAAGATGTTAGTACGGAGATAGAGATGGGGAGGGGAGGTGGATAATTTGATTTTTTTTTTTTGATATACACACACACACACACACATATATATATATATATATAATTGAAATAGATAATATTTGTGCAATTTCTCAAATTTTTTGCACACCTAAGATTTCATGTCGTTGACCTCATACATGACTTTTGTAATTTAACTTTATGTCAAGCAATATAGTGTCCTTAATGGATAAATTCAACATTCCATTCATGTTGGCACTGTGTGTTTTGCAACCAAATTGTGTTTGAGCCATGTCGATGGAAGTTGAGACTTTTCAAATTCAACTTGAACTACGTCACATTCGTAAATTATTGTTTTCGTGCCACTTGATCAAATTGATTGTAAAAGGTTATTTCTGGATAATCTCAATGCTTTGGATGCATTGGCAGTTTGTTTTGCCATCGCACATTTGAGCAATTTCAAATGCACTCCAAGCAATCCAAACTTAATTTGTGTGACCTCGCTCTGATGCCTGCTATTTTGATTATATTTGTTAGTCAACAAGCAGGACAGGCACGGAGGTCAATAATATTGATGAAAAAAAATCTCATTTCAATAATTTTATTGGTGGTGGAATAAAAATGGTGTTGATTTGACAATATTGTCATGCCGCTTCAAACATATATAAAAAAGGGGTTGAAACAAACCCAACAAAATCAGCAACTCCTCCAAATATATGCCAACTCAATTTCATTTCTGCACAGAATGCCAAAATTTATGAATATGATCATGAATAGAAAATTTGGACGAGACGGCTTCAATAACAATTGTCTTAGGATGTTAGCATTTCCCCATTTTCAGGATGGTGCAAAAAAAAACATTAATACAAGAAAATGCGAAATGACAACTGCAAGGAGTTTCATTATCCAGTCAAACATAGGAAAAGCAGAAATGTTTAATCCATATAAGTATTTAAGCCTGAAACTACATTGAATCACAGGCAGTAAAAAGATAGTTGTGGGACATTAGGTCAAAGCTAAAAAACTATGGTGATAATGGTTAAAAAAAATAACCACGGTTTAGCAATTTATATCTAACAAAAATGGCAGCAAGCTGTTCATAAGAACGTATGTTCTCCATTTCTTTATTAGAAGGGGTTAATTTCAAGTAACATAAAAAATGAGCTGTCAGCACTGGTTAGGAAGAATATCGATGATTTTGAACTTGTCATAAATTAAAATCAAACAAGTTGTCAAAGAAAACAGAATGTTAAAGAGACCCAGGAAACATCATATTCAAATGAAAAGTATTACCATTACTTGCATTGACCGTTTCTTTTGCATTTTTCACAGCCAACTCTAGAAGCTTTGGATCTAATGAATCAAGTCCATCTGATTGCTGAAGCTTTCTCTCAAGAAACTTTGCTAAAGCTGCAGCTTTGTTTGTTGCTATAGGTCCATTTGGGTGGGCCAACCTATACAAAATCAATCAGCCAGGAATGAAATAAACTATTAAAAGTTCTTAATGCCAGCTTTACAACAATTACCCATCAAATGTTGAGACGGAAATTCATCTACAATTGACAAACTCGGATGAGTAGTATCACATACGAGTGTGTAAAATTGAAGAAAAAGGAACGACTCAACCTCGTATTAGACTACTATCGGCTGAGGATATTCTAATTGTAGTAGACAGAAATTTAAGAAGCATACATGTAAACAAACAAGAAACGAATATTGGGCTTGAAAGTTTATATATTTATATTTCTCCAACTTAAAAGATGGCAAAGAGAGGAGTGGAAACTTCAAACCTCTGGTCCTTGAATCTACTCTGAACAGCTCTTTAGTTTGAAATAGATTATGATAAATCTAAATTTATGATATTGGTCATTCATGTAATCCAGATAGTTCGTTCACCCATTGCCGAATCCAAAACATTTTTTTTATCATGCTGTAGAATTGAAAAAAAATGCTGCATTTTAATGATGCAGTATTCATTGATTATCGCAATATTATCATCTTCTTCCTCCCAATTTTCATGCTTTTGATTCTACTCTTATCTCTCTCTTGCTGTATTTTCTAGCGAAAGCAAACTCAAATAGACCGCAAAAAACAATCCAAACAACCCCTTAATATAAAAATATAGATGATATTATATAATCTTATATAATAATACTAAAATGCCATGTTTTCCCTGTCTCCAACGCTCAAGTCTCAAGATACAGAGCACAATGTTGCCGCCTATTCTTTGTATGTGAATCCTAGACGCCCAACAAGTGACTATCATCAGCAACTTCCATTAGCCGCATGCCAAAAAGCCATTTGGTGCTCTCAAAAGCCCATTGAGGGACTAAATCACCATCATGGCATCTTACTCCAATTGTGGACCAACATATTTTCTTGATAGTTGCTATTACCTCTAGCAAAACATGTTGGTCCTTCACAAAACAGCCCATCATGAGCTTCATCAACTACCGCAACTCATCATCAACGAAGTACAATGTCATTGCCCAATGTGTCTTGCCTATACAAGTAAATCTGTGGTTAACTTCCATAATGGCTGAAGGGTGATGGACCCACAACAAAGACCAGGCAAATAAGGCACTTACAATGAATACAACCTCAATGGATCCAACGATAGTTTAACACCTTGTTTAATATTTTAAAATTATTTGGCTATTACTGAGGGAATTAAAAGATTAGAAGATCGAATGTGGATTTATAATTAACAGATAAGCATAAATAGTAAATTCTTATCTAATCCCTACATTAATGAGAGAATAATACGTAGGCAGTTCCTTTCTAAGTTAATCTGCTAAAATTAAACACTAATAAAGGTCAATTGGAATGTTATATTAGTGGATTAATTTGGGATTAATTAGTTGAACCATGCAGCCTATTTGATAGCTTAGAATAATTGCACTAATTAGTATTTAATTGCTAATTAGACAATTTTTCTCACATTTTAATTAGTTGAACCATGCAGCCTCATAGGAATTAATTAAACTTTAATAAAAAAACAAGAATCATCATCGTAATCAAAGATAAGATAGGTATTAATAAGGGGTTAATTAAACATTATAATTGTTAAGACTATTTTGTCCTTAAGGGGTTGTTTGGTTGGCAGCATTTCTGGTGCATTGCATTCCAATTCCTTGCATTTTGAAAAATTAGTTATTTGTTCGGAAAGAATTGGAATTCAATGTAAACTTGCATTGCATGCGAAATTTAGCATTTAGTTCATTTTCTCAGAAGTTGAATTTCCTCTGATTTGACCGAGTTCCAAAACCATAGCTAAATATAAATTGTTGTAGGCACCACTGCTAGTAGTTGGTCGCGCAGCTGCCGAGCATCATCATCGTTGGTAGCCCTTGTCGTTGCTAACACCACAACCGTCAGCTGCCCCACTATCACTGGCGCCACCGCCGACCGTAGCCACCCACTGCAGGGTATTTTCGTAATTGGGGACTGCTGTCGTCGCCGGCCAAGTCGCCCACAGTTAGGCATCGTCGCACTATGTTCCCCTCACCGCAGTTGGACACCACCACCGTTGACAGCTGTCGTCGGCAAATGCATTACTTCTAAATACATTATTTTTATTTTATTTTAAATCAAACAAAAAAATGAAGTTGTTCATTTGTTTTACACCAAACCAAACAAATTCAAAAAATTTGAATAACAATATATTTACTCCTACGTATTCATTTTATATTGTTGTACTTTTTCAGCAAACCAAACAATATCTAAATCAAACGGCTTATTAATTAGATTTCTTATAAATATATTGAAGGCATGTTCATTTGGCACTAACGCAGCATTTAGCATAGTTTAAGTGTCAAATGGTGTAATTTTCCAATTTGCTTATTTATTATAGATTAGCCCTATGTATATGTCTCGTTCATTTAAGTAAGCCCAAAGCAAAGCCCGGTTCACCCCATGCTTAAGTTACAATGCATTTCTCATGTCTCTCCTGTGTGATATGTGCTACAGCTCTATTGATCAAAATTTGCATCTTCCAATACCTCTCTCATTCGATATTTGCGGCACCTCATACAATCACAATTGACATTATGCTTCTTTATTGTGCCTCTCTTGATCACTGCAATACTTCCTTGTGACAGCTCTCTCCTTCAATCATTATGGTGCGCCTCTCTTTCAATCATTATGATAGTATTTTCAATGGTAACGGTTTTTATAATGCTAACCTTCTCCTTCCTCTAACTAAATCAAATCCTGACATACAATAATGATTCCAATAAATTTTGGGAAGAAAATCATGGAATAGATTTAGTGAATCTTAACATACAACAATGAACCTTGACATATGCCAAGGAAGATCCATAACAGCATTTTGCAATAAAATCCTAAAATTTGGCCAGCTTTTTAAAAGAGTCTCTCGAAAATTATATTTAAGGGATTCTACTTCATTTTAGTGGACCATATAAAAGTAAAAAGTAACTTTGATGAATCTTTAGTTTACAACGAACTAATTGGCAAACAGGCCAGCAAATTGGCAAAATTATGGTTAGAAAGACTTTGTATAGAAGTGCACAAAAATCTCATTAGCTATACATGATGATCCTATGATGATGTGCAATCTTATAATGGTCATACAAACCATCTCAAGAGTATAACTAGCAATTTGAATTCGTCATAATAAAATGTTGAAGAATAGCACTGATGATGAGAGTGGACTCTCAAAAGTTTCAAAAAGAGACTGGTTGGAGTATACACTCTATAGAGCATTAAAATAAGATGGAACAAAAGCTGTCATGGAAACTAGTAGGTTGCGGACCTGATGGACTATTAAATTAAATTGGTTGTGCCATGAAGGTCATCATTAATAAGCGAGTGATGCATGGATGTCATTGACAAGCCCAACATGTGAATGATCCTAAGGGGGGCAACCTTCAACATAATCACTTTGCAACGATGCTAGTTATTGTGTTTCACATAAGAGCTGAATGATCATATATTGAGATTTCTCCATACTGCAAATGTGATCTTCAAGAGATGTATAAAGAGGGCATTCACCAACAAGGTTAAGCCAGTCAAACAAAAACGGAATAGATGCGTAACATCTCTAGCTGAAAAACTGATTCCTAAAATGACGAGAGTTGGAACACAAGGACTTACTGTTGCAAGCATTATGCCTCTTGGCCATTGGCATGTACTCGATGAGCTTATAATTGTTGGGTTGTTCCCGCAAACGACCTCAAACTACCACATGCTAGACAATTTATGAGTATAGGGAAGAGTGTATTGCATTAACATTACACAAAAATCAAATACACGCACATAAGTAGATTACAATTCACAAAAACATTTCATGCTAAAAAAAGAAAAATCATGAAGCATAACCTAGTTGAAATAACTTCTTCACTCTTTTGTATCATGAAAAAAGTGAGATTTCAAATAATAACAACAAAAGTTGGTGACAGTCAACAATGGAAGATGCAAACAAAGGACAACAAATGCTAAGAAAGTTTTCAGTATGGACGTTCTTTAACCCTAATGTATAAACTCAACTCAATGTCAATTTTATCATTTTCATCAATATCCAAAACCAACTTCCAATGCATGATGTAAGTCATAAATAATTTGTCTTTTATAGTATAAACATTACTAAAAAAAATCAAGATTTAAGTAATGTGCAGTTGCTATGTAAAGATAAATGAAGTTATGGTTCTCACATTGTACAATTATTTCAAAAGTCTGCTCGAACTTATCATTATTAATAAAACTTGCAGCAATAGCCTCTTTGGCAAGATCCATCGCTCCATATATATAACTCATCAGCTATGAAAATAAATAATTTGGGGTAAAAAGTGGATTTTGTATAGCAAGGAAATTAATTTCCAAATCTTTCAGTTAGAATATTCAAATACTTCAAGATATAGAAACTATGTCTAAGCTTTTGCTTGAATGTTCTAGTGACATCTATGTTCGTTTTGAATGTTCTAGTGGCATCCATGTTTGTTTTGAATAATTGCCTTTTATAGCAGTTGCAATTATTAATTAGTATAAAAAATTGTTCCTCCCATCTTTTTCAAGCACACTTGCACAAAAAATTTATTAACACGGAAGTTTGAGGGTTATGGGACTCAGTAATTAATCAATAAATTATCAAACTAGAAGATTTCCATGATTAGATCAATCCAATCAAATTTAAAAATAGCGCTCGTCTGGAAACAGTGATCAAAGAAGCTCTAAACCTGAATCTAGTAATCCATCAGACCAACATGCAAACGAAGATACACAAAAAGATTCAGCGACGAAATTCGGGATAAACTGGCACCATGAGATAAGCCAAATATAATAATTGCAGAAAAGAAAAGCGTTCGTTCACCATCTCAACAAAGATAGCAATCCAATCGAATATAGATTAAAAAGAGTAGACCCTAGAGAAAAAGAAGGGGGAGTAGGGGTTGAAGAAACCTTGGAAGGGTTCGCAGAGGAAGCGATGGGAGTGGTGCGAACTTGCTACACCGAAGAGCTCGCCGCTCGTCTTCGCTGAGCTCCCTGTCCATCCAGCGGTCCTCCTCTCCCTCTCTCTCCCTTTCCCGCATTAAAAAACATTATTTTGTTTATTTATTTATTTATTTATTTTGGGGAAGAAGAATTTGATCTAATAATTATATGCGAATTATTATTTTATTTCTTTTGAAAATGAGGTTATAAATAAATTATTGAACAAAGCAAATATTTCAATGCACAATTGTGATAAAATTTGTTACGATTGTTGATTTTTTATATTGGAATATGAATGAACAAAATTTAAAACTTGTTATAATAATAATAGAAACTTGGATGCATATTCATTATATATGTAAAGATTGCATGTAAAAAACGTGCCGTCAAGAATCACGAAGAAGAGTCATGGATGGTGAAAGAGGTGATAAAGGCTCACATAGCCTATCATAAACGCTCGATCGACCAGTTTATCTATCGACTATTAAAGAGACAGTGCATTTCCAATGAATAAAAAATGAAAGAAACATCCTTGAAGAGTCCAAGCGACTGGGCTCGTTCGGACGAATCCCTTGCCACTTGAGTTACATAAGATTGGGAGAAGAAAACGAACCTTTCAACTTCAGGACTATTGCTCCCTCCCTCCCTCCCTCCCTCCCTTTGGTAATGCTGTATTCCTTTGACCTGTCTCATGGACAGACTGAGGTTCAACAAACATGATCATTTATTGTTTTGTAAGCTACTCACTAATAATTAATAAAATTTTAATTTAATAATGTTTGATAATGTTAATTATTGTGTGTAACATGGACAACCAGCAACCTCAATGATTTGGATGACCAACAATCTAGATGACCCACTGCCTTGATGATTAGCAGCTTGGACGACCTACAACCAGGACGACTTGTGACCGGAAATAACTAGCAACCAGGATGATTTGAAGCCAATTATGCTTAGTGGCAGAGCCAGAAAGCAACCAAATGATAATATCATAAATATACCTAGAACACCCCTATTAAAGCATGGGCAAACATATAACTTCAGATATTGTGTCCTCTCCCCTATAAATAAGAAATTATTTTAATATGTTCGAGCCGAAACAATGCAATTACCTCATATAAATGTTCATTTACTACGCACTCTTCTATCTCTCCTTTTCAGTTCTCTCTCTTATCTTAGGCAATATTTATTAGGTGTTACTCACGAACATATTAGGATTTAGCAAACAAATATCATATAAGTAATTGATATCTAGACAAGGTTGTCTGCCTTTATGGTGGGTTGAAAAATATTAGACATGTATTTGTATAAAGTATACATTTAGACCATAACTCCCAATAATGAAAAATACAGCAAAAATATATGAAAGTAAATGAAATTGATTTCTTTATCGTTCTGTTTACTCCATAGCTTTTTTTACTGTATTTTTACAAAATATTTTAAAGTGAGAATTATTATAATTTAGAAGCATTTACCGACTGAGTAATTTTAACTCAAATCTCAGTAACTAACATTTTACAGAAAAAAAACAGTTGTAGACTACATAGACCTCTAGAAATAAGTGTACAAGCACCGTGGAGCATATGGTAATAGGAAAAGTGTTAGCTTTTTATTTTCTATAAATTGTATTATTTAAAAGGTTGTATGAGCTTGTTGTAACTTTAATTTCCATTGTGATGTGATTTTAAGAATCTCTTACCCGTTACTCTTGAGTTTATCTCCATCGCACATAATATCAAATTTATTGTATTTGATAATCAAATTAGATAAATGCATATTTATCAAATTCATTATGTGACAAAAGAGCTCCTGAGCGATGTCGCAATCAGATTTACTACATCCAAATTTAAGTCGCAAAAGTGGCGGAATGCTCGAAGAACAAAAATCGAACGCAAGAAAATTCGATTTGATAGAGCGTAGTATCTAATTTCTATTTTAAATATGCCCCCACACAAAGTCTTAACCTTAATTCAGATGTTAAACCATGTTCTAACATAAAAATGGCATAATCCAAGTATAAAATGATCATTACCAAAGTTAAAACACACAACAAAATCAAAAACTACAATCAAACATAAACATAACCACATAATCTTACTTCGCAGCCAAGAAACTCCAACAACTACTCTTTACAGATTAAAACCATCAAACATTACAAAAAAAACAAAAGACAAAGCAACTCAAAACCGGACAAGATCTTCAGTTCCCCAAAAAACAACAACAACTATGTTCTTACATTTCAAAACACAAACATTACATAACAACAAAACCATAGAAAATCTTTACTTAAAAGCTCTAAGCCAAACCAGACAAGATCTTGTCGTTCCATTCCTCAACAATCCATTTTAACATCAACAAAACTAAAGAGCCAAACAACACCACAAAAAGCGCATCAGAGCCGCCGCTACTGTATGCTGTAGCGCTGCTGTTCGGCGATGGACATGGCGACGGCGCCCCTGAAAATGGTGCCGGAGCACCGTGAGAAGCCATGACATCAACCATAAGCCTTTGGCCCTTCTTGCAATGTTCAACATTACCGCTGACGAAGAAGAAAAACCCCGGCTTGTCGAGGAGGAAGACGGCGCTGCCATCCTTCAACAGGGTGCCATTACCGCTCTCGTTGCAGTGATAATAGCCTATTTTCTCCACACGAATAACAGAGTCGTTCTTGTACTCGAAGACTGAAAATTGAAAACAGAGGGAAATGAGATGAAAGGAAGAAACTTTACTGTTTTGGAGTGAGGGATTTGTTGGTTCTTACCGAGGGAGTCGCCGACATGGAAGCGGAGGTTGGTAGCCCAGGTTGTGTAGAAGTCGGGATTGTTGTCTTCGGGGACTCGCCAGCCGAGATCGCCGCCGACCTTGTAGTGGTTCTGAGGGGCCACGAGGAAGTAGGTGAAGGAAGGGAAGAGGAAGAAGATGAAGAGGTGGGAGGAGAGAGGCATCTCGAGAGATGTTTGTTGGGAGAGAAGAGGAATCGAAGTTGGGAGAAGTGTTGGGAACTGAACGGAGAAGGGAAGGAGAAGAAGTAGAATTGGATGGGTTGGTTAGACGGTTATAGTCTTATAGGCGGTTTTTGGTATTTGTAAAATAAATAAATAGGCTTAAAACTGAATTTACAAAAAAATGATTTTTTTTTAATTTTTTTAAAAGAAATGACGAAAGGCTATTATACGAGCATCCAGACACTTCTAATATGTCTAACAATTCGAGTATCACCCTCTTTAAGACTCATGTCGCTAGAGGACATTGGAATCCCAAACCTGAGGGGTCTTGTACGAGGATGCAAAGTAACTGACTAGTAAACGCAACACTATATTTTTTTTTTATTTATATTGATAAATAGACTATGGTACATAGGCACAATTTGGGGTTGATGAGGCTTAATTTAATAAAAGTAAAGTTTTTAAATTGGAATTTAAGCTTATTTTAAATAATAGAATACTTATTAAGTTGAATTTTAGAGAAATATAATTAATTAAAAAAAAAGAATTATTTAAGATTCATAGTTTTAGGTTTCAATTAAATAATACATTATTTGATTCTGAATAAAATTTTAATTTATAATTTTTTAATAAAAAAATAAGTTTATTTTAAAAAAAATCAATTATAAGAGAAAAATTAATTTGAAAATTTAAATTAATTTTTTTATGGATATGTTCTATCAAATAAATTTAAATTTGAATATTATAAATTGTATTGTACTTAAGATATATTTTGAATATTTTTAGAGAAAAATTAATTTGAAAATTTAAATTAATTTTTTATGGATATGTTCTATCAAATAAATTTAAAATTGAATATTATAAATTGTATAATTGTATTGTATTTAAGATATATTTTGAATATTTTTATTTTTAAAATTAAGTGGAGAATAGGTTAAATTTGATTCATTAGTTATCCGGAGTCGCCATTAAGTGGAGAATAGGTTAAATTTGATTCATTAGTCATGCGACGTCGCTCGCAAAAAATTTATCTAAAATAAATTTATAATTTTAAAATTAAATTATCTCTTAAAAGTTAATTTTTTTAAGAATAAATTTATTATTTTATTTAAAAATTCATTCAAAATTAAATAAATGTATTATTTCAATTGAATCTTAAATTTATTAAGCTTAAATAATTCTTTATTAAATATTATTTACATTTCTCCAAAATTCAATTTAAGTATATTGGTTTAAAATAATATTAAACCATAAATATCAAATCATATCATGTAGACACAATTTGATAGATTTAATTAAATAAATTTATAATTTTAAAATTAAATTATCTCTTAGAAACTAATTTTTTTAGAATAAATTTATTATTTTATTTAAAAATACATTCAAAATTAATTAAATGCATTATTTTAATTGAATCTTAAATTTATTAAGCTTAAATAATTATTTATTAAATATTTTTTGCATATCTCCAATATGCAACTAAAAGTATTCTTTTTTTAATTAATATTAAATAATAAATATCTAATTATATCGTGTAGACACAATTTGATAAAATTAACTCTAAATGAAAAGCTAATGCTGAAATTATAAATTATTACTTATAAATAATTATTGAGGTATGCTCATTGTACTAATAAGTTAAATTTGATTTAATATTCACTTAATTTTAATATAAAATATACTTCAAGTATATCATAATTAAAAGAAATTATAAATTATTACTTATAAATAATTATTGAGCTAAGCTCATTAAATTAATAAGCTAAATTTGATTTAATATTCACTTAATTTAATATAAAATATACTTAAAAGTATATCATAATTAAAACATAAAATAATAAAATTCAAATTTATATTTATGTGACATAATAGATCATTACGAGAAATGATTTAAAATATCAAAATTAATTTTTATTTTAGTTGTTAGTTTTTAGGATTAAGTTACAATACAATAAGCCCATGTCTTCCTAGGTCTACCTCTGCCTTTCTTAACACTAGTCGAATTTAAAACATCTACTCTCCTAATCGTATCATCTAATGGTCGACGTTTAATATGACCAAACCATCTAAGACGACTTTCTCTAATTTAAAACATAAAATAATAAAATTCAAATTTAAATTTATGTGACATAATAGATCTTTACGAGATATGATTTAAAATATCAAAATTAATTTTTATTTTTGGTTGTTAGTTTTTAGGATTAAGTTACTTTTTTTATTAACTTCTTTTTATAAATTACTTTAGAGTTGAATAAATTTATTTTTTTAATTAAAAATTAAAATTAATTATATTTTTCCAAAATCCAACTTTTTAAATAAGCTTAAATTCTAATTTTAAAAGGATAATTTTATTAAATTATGTCACGTTAAACACCAAATTGCGCCTATGTTGCACAACTTTGGGTCTGTTTGGGGCAACCACAACTCTTAAAACGTAACTGTGAAGCTGGTGAATGATAATTTGATGCTCAAAAGCTGCGGTGGTTATTATAATTTTTTTAAGTCATCGCACCCAGCCAAGAGTTATGGGAAAACGCAAATTCCAACGACAACTTTTTGAAAAAGCTGTCAAAACGTAGTTTACCGAAACATTCAAAACTGCGGCTTTGTGCCGCATTGCCACCATAAAGGGTTGATAAATAGAAATAAAAAGTGACATTTTTGTTAAATCAATTTTAAACATAATTTGTTTTAAAAATTTTATTAAAATATCCTAAATTTCATTCAAAATATTATATGATATTTTAATAGCCTTTAAATTTACGATTTAATTTATTTAAATTATTTCAATACCTTATTTTTCTCATGTCTAAAATATTCCTCAAAATATTAACAATTTTCTTTATAAATAATTTAATTGCTTTACAAGTAGAAAACATTTTTTATTCACTGTATTATTCTCAGATTTTGAAGAAATTTTAATTTTTTTAACTAAAAAAATATTTTTTTTAAAATAAATTATATATTTAAGTATTATTTTTGTTTTCTAAAACAAAATGAACTAATTGTTCATGAGAAAAAAATGAGGTTTTTATGCCCTAATATCATTCTAAGAGTCTGTTTGGGGCGGTTGCAGCTTTTCAGATTTTCAGCCGCAGTTGTGCTACCCTAGGAAACTGCTGAGGGGATGTTGGCTGCCTGTGTGAAAATAATTGTGGGACAGTTATTTTTATAAAAATGAATATTCTAACTCTGTTTAGTAAAAGTGTTTAAAACAAAAATATGACAACACATATTTGATACTTCACAAGCAGAAATTTTTTTCAAAACTGAATAAAAGTTTAGATACATAACTCACTTAACAGTGAGTACTGAAAGTGCTAAAGAAAAAAATAATAATAAAATTACAAGTAAAATAATGATGTTATTATTTTTAACATTAAGACGATATATGTCTCGCCCTAAATTGTCATCTAATGTTGCTATCAATTCGCGATGACTTTTTTGCGGTAAAATCAACCTAATCATCAGCCTATCTGAAGAAGTCACACTTTTCTGCGAGGCTCCACGGGCATATTTAAAACTGTCGACCTTAGCTATGTGGTTGACGTGACTTCAGAAAGGAAGTCTCTAGTCCACAGTGACATAACAATCTTCAGGACTTCCCTGAAATTCTGGAGCTCATCACTTCTGAAAGCAGCGAAATAGAATTCATTAGTCAATTATTTTAAGTTGGAAACAATATGAAAAATTAAGAAAACAAGAAGAAAAACATATCAAAACTGGCCAACACCAACTATCAATGACAATTTTTAGGAATTTATTAATATCTAAGCTTTGATATTTACACATAAAACTTCAGAGTTACAATCACACCAAATTTAGGAATTAGATATGCAAAGACATATTAACTTGGTGGTATGCATGCACATCATCCTTTAAAATATAAAAGCTACAAGGAAAGCATAAAGACACAAATAATCTTTCATCATAAGAAGGCATAAGAACCATATAGCATAGAATCACGATTGACAAAAGGACTTAAAAGCAAACTTGTACATGTACAAAAGAAGGGCAAAAGAGAGGTCATCAATGTTGGGTAATGTAGAGACCCGATCCACCGAATTTAATTAATTTTCTAATTAAGAATCTCACCTACCGCTCACCCACATTCCCACCTACCGCTCACCTCTCACATCCCACCTACTGCTCACATACCTCCCACCTACTACCCACCACCTACTCGCTTGGTTTCTATAAATAGTCTCTTATGGCTTGTCATAAGCCACAAGCCAAGCCAAACCAAGCCAAGCAAGGTCAAGTCAAGTCCTTTTGAAAAACTAGGGGCAATAGGAAAAGAAAGAGAGGAAGAGAGAGAGAGAGAGGAAGAGAGTGAAGAAAACAGAGATTTTCTTGTAAACGTCTAGGCGCTCGACGGTGTATTTCCTCGAAGAAATAAAATCCTTTGCAGCTCCGTGGACGTAGACAAATTTGTCGAACCACGTAAATCTGTTTGTCGCTCTTGTGTTTTTCTATGTGCAATTTTACTCGTTCCATTTTTTGTTTTATTGTCGTCGTTTTTCACAACAGCTGGTATCAGAGACTTGGGTTTGGATCTAAAGAAGAATGATGGGCAGAGACGATGTGATGACATCGAGGATCAAGAAGTTCAATGACGCATATTTTGCTTACTAGAGGATGCAGATATAAGACTCCTCTATGGGAAGAAACTTCATCTTCCTTTTCTGGGAAAGCGACCAGAAAAGATGGACGAGGCAGAATGGAATCTGTTGGATCGACAAGTTCTGGGGGTTATTCGATTAACCCTGTCGAGATCGGTTGCCCACAACGCCATCAAGTAGAGGACTACTGCATGTCGCATGGAGGCTTTATCAGATATGTATGAAAAGCAATCGACAAATAACAAGGTGCACTTGATGAAAAAGTTATTCAACTTAAAGATGACGGAAGGTGTGTCTGTTGCTCTACACCTGAATGATTTTAATACTATGACAAATCAATTGTCATCTGTTGAAATTGATTTTGATGATGAGATACGTTGATTGGCTTCATTGTCAAATAGTTGGGAAGCCATGAGGATGGCAGTTAGCAATTCTGCAGGTAAATCTAAGCTAAAATAT